ATTTAAATATCCGTTTTTTGTCTTATGATATGGAGGTAAAATCAACATTTTCTATCTAATAGTTAATGCTGTTTAAATGTAGGGAAGTGATAGCTAAGTATCAGTGACAATTAAAGCACTTGACTTGTAATCTGCAGATCCTAAGTTCGAATCCTGCAATGTACCAATGTGTATTGTATACATATGTACATCCGGCGTTATAACGGTGAAGGAAAACATCGTAATCCAAATTGAAAATATCTGCGAAGAAATTCAAAGATATCAGTGAAGTCAACCACCCGGCTGGCACTGGGCCAGCGTGTTTGACTATGGCCTAGTCGGCCCTCTTCTAGGGTAGGTTAGGTTACCCTTCAGTGGGTACGTATGATGAGCTGATGATGATGAGCATGCCAGTTTAATCCAGTAATATAGAAAATTAAATTCCGTAACATTGTACAATATAATGTAAAATCTTTTAGGAATTTGCAAAGCCCAACTAATTCGGTTAGATTGAATATTGATGAGGTCAAAGCGTTTGTACTTTTTTCCTGTATTTTTCATCGATTTACAAAATAGAATATAATAAAAACGTTAAAAATTTTATTCGTTTAAATTATAAATGTAATAAGTAATTAAAGTAGTACTCGTATTACGCCTATTATATCACAAACAAAAAAACAGTATTCGGTCTTTATTGTTTTTGCATCCATTTTCAAGTGTTAATCACTTTAAGTGTACTTTTATATGCTCGTAGGTTGAAGTTACATTAAACTCACGTTTCGCTTATTCAATAGTCATTAATCCGGGGAATAAAAATTTCCACAGTGAAGCCTTTGGGAACGTAAACACGATGGAACATCAAAAAGCTTTTGATTACGATGCTTTCCTACGAATGCTGAAGTGAAGCGACACGTTTTAGCTGCCGCTTTGTTTTCCCGTCACGCCTTCTGTTTAACAAACCTTTTAAATGATTCATTGTTAACATTATTACGCATTTAAAAAAGTTTGTTTTTGTTTTTTACTTTAAACTACCTATCGCTCGAGACTCCGTCTGCGCGTAATTAAAAAAAATGTTAGCCTATGCGTTCTTCCAGACTATGTTCTACACTAGGCCAAATTTTAGTGAGATCTATTCAACCGTTTATATGGGAAAAAGAAAAAGGCTATTTTTAGTTTCCCCGATAATTATCCGAATTTTCTCACCTTTTAAACCTTTCCTAGATCTCCACGAGCATTTCAAGACCAAGATAAGATAAATCCGTTCAGCCTTTCTCGAGTTTTAGCGATACTAACGAACAGCAATTGTTTTTACCAATGCAACGTAGAATCCCTCCTGATTAGTGTAATCAACACCTATGCGTCTGTTTACTACGTTTTTACGATTAGTACTTATGCTTCACTAGTTGGGATTAGATATTTTTGCCAGAATTAAATAAGCATAATTTTTGCCCGAAAGTTATTAAACTAAAATGAGATAAACGAATCGTAAATCAAAGTCCTTAGTAGAATATGTACTATATTTTTGTCTTGTAAGTTTCCATAAGATTAATGAGTTTATTGCTGATACTTGATTAAAATTTGTTATTTTCTAGGGTTCCGTACCTCATAGGTAAAAAACGGAACCCTTATAGGATCACTTTGTTGTCCGTCCGTCTGTCTGTCAAGACCCTTATTCTCTAAAACGCGTGAAGGTATCAAGCTGGAATTTATTTATGTTAGTTACCTTAGGCTTAGATAGATGTGTTTCCTTATTTTACCGTGTCACTTGTAAGATTTTTTTGTACTCTTACTTGTGCACAATTTGTTAACGTTGCTCTATATAATAAATTAATAATAATGTAAAGTAAAGCTTACTTAAACATGGATAAAACATTAATTGAAAATGTATAATAGGTATAATTATATTTTGTAACATGTGTCTAGTTTCTGCATTAGATAAAATACTTAGAAGGAATCTAAAGTGATATAAAAACGGCTTAACACTCACGTATATTCGTCCGGTGGCGGCACCGACTAGTTTCGAGCCCATCGGGGGCCCTTCATCAGGATGAGTGGTACTGGTATTATTTCGCGGACGCGGTCCGTCGCTAACTGAGCGAGTTTAGTAATATGTCTCACGAAAGCTTGAATAATTTAAAAGGAATCTGTTAAAGTTTGTAGTTAGGTCTGTTTATCGGCTTCGCAATTAATGGTCTTGCTATTTTTAATAATAAACAGTACGCGCTCAATGAATGTCAATTAATAAACACAATTGTGAGGTGACCTTGGCGGCGTGTCGGACGCTACTGATTGTTATTCTCCAGCTATTTTCATTGCATATGCACGTAGATGACAACGCCGGTGTTAAATAAAATGGTTACATGTGCCTTCTCGTGTTAACGCATTCGACAGTTGAAATCTTATAAATATAAAAATTTCCTGTCACGATGTAAGTTCGTGATAAACTCCGAAACTACTGAAGTGATTCTTATTCAATGTTGTTAACATATGTAATTTAGTCCAATTTGGGAGATAGGTTATTTTTTATCTTAATTATTGATCTTTTTTTAATTCCGCTCGGACAAAGTCTCCGGGCGTAAGCTGTATAGCATAAATGTTAATCGATTTTGAATGCGCAATCATTCACAGTACACCAATTTTATCGGCGATTCGAGTTGTTAAATCGATAATGAAATCGAACTTAACTTGAGTTGACCGCCTATTTATAAAAGTGTACGGTAACTTTCCCCACGACGTCCGCCACGCTGCACCACGCCGGTGACGACTGCAGTTACGAAAGCTGAACCCGCTTATAAGGCGTCAGCAGTCGATGCTGTGATTTCTTTATTAGTGATTTTCACATTGTTGCATCCCTTCAAAAATGTCTAGACGTGTTAACCTCATTTCTAACAATTGTAAAATGTAAATAAACTCACGTTATTCGAGATTTTAATAATTTGAAACAACTTTTAATATTTTGTATAGTTGATCGCCTAGGGGCTAGGACGTCCGTCTCACGATCTAAAGCTTGTGACCTCGCTTATGACAGTATTCAGGAATGTGGTCCTAAAGCAAGTAGCTCACTTTAACAATGTTTATTCTCTTGTTAGAATCTAATGTAAAGATTTTATAAATTGTACATTCAAATGATTAATTACACTTCATTGCTGTCAAAAACTACATCTCTTAACTTTTGTGTTCTGAATTAAACAATACTGTGTTGAAATAATAAAGGTGCATCAAATACGAAATTAAAGTTTTTTTTTTCATTTATAAATTACATATAAGATTTTCAGCCTATTCAGTTCTATCATTGTTTTTCCTACATATGTTTTAACAAGATAATAGATAGACAGGCAACAAAGTAAATTGTATCAAAAATAGAATTATTTACGTATACGAAAACAAGGAAGTATGATGTATTCACTCGTACTCTAGTCACGCGGCGAGCGAATCTAACATCACACGACTTCTAAATATTAATCTGTTTACTTTAACATGTGCAGGTTTCCTCTATTACCATTTAACATTTTTAATATTAACAGCTGCGACTAAACGGAAGTTGTCCACTAAATTTAAGACGACCATACATTAACACGTTAGCTGCCAGAATGATTTTTCGAAAAACGAAAAAAATTTTTTTTTAATCTTTGTCCTAAAATATTTGAATGGGCCCTTGCGGGATACGCTGTATACAACAATACGATTAAAAGCCACAGCGAGGAGTTGAATGGAAGTATAGCTTGTCGGACACATAGTCCGACACGGCCTGATTGAAACATTAGCATGTCGGACGTATAGTCCGACATGGCAGCTAACGTGTTAATATTGCTTGCGACATTGAAATATATCATTATATTTTTAATCTTGCGATGGAACCTTGCGGGTCAGTGCTGGAAGCATTAATTCTGATATGATTTACACGACGTCGGCAACAACCACTACCAAAATCAAGGGTATATATGCTAAGACTTGATTTTATTAGTGTGCTTACAATTTTGTGAGTTGCTTTTGTTTCATAAATTTGCTTCTTAATGTTCTGTAAATTTGTTAGAATTTTTATGGTGATTGAGCTTACGCAATTATAAGCTGCAATTATATTAATTAATTCGTATGTATGAAGTTTTAAAACATGTTCGTGAATGAAAAGAACGTACTTGCGTAAGTGTTTCCGTTTATTTATGACGTGGAAATATTTAAAAGGTTTCTTAAATGAACTTATATCAGGTTAATGCGTTTTATTACCTTAAGGTTATTTCGCATTATTAATATGTGGCTTAATTATGCAAGCTGTTTAAAAAAAACATGATTAAAATAAGTATGTTGGCATTTTGTCGTGAGCAAATTCTCTAGAAAAATTGTAAGATTTTTTTGTAACCAAGTACATGTGTATTCTGCATATTTTATGTAAACACAAGTTTTTATGTCTCGTTAAATATTGTATTCAATGATAAAAGAAAATAATTTCCATAAATGCGTGAATACTGACATGTATCCAAACCAGTTTTAAGTAGACGAGGCTATAAGGAAATAAATGCATTTAACCCCAAGATTCAAAGGTGTAGGCAGAGATTATAGACATTTTCTTCATAGACTCCTTGAAAATCCCATTGATTTATCTCTTCTTCTGCTAGGCTTTATTTAGCTTTGATAATAGTTATTTTATTGTTTCGTGTAATACTTACAGTCTTCCTGCGATAATACTAAATTTCAAACCAGTAATGTTAGTACAGCTTCGTAGTAAATGATGGATTAGCTGAGATTAATAATTATTTAATATATTCTTTGCAGTAGAAAACGTTGAGGTTTGCCTGCGGGAGGTTTATTGTCATACTGTCATATCTCTTACATATTTGTGACAAATGTGTCCAATCCATCATCTTTATGTATAAATCGTTGAAGTCTATAATCGCCATTCGTTACCATTACGATGACTACGTATGTTAATTTAAACCAAACATATTTAACGGGTTTGCCACACAAATGCTCAACGCAATGACGTTTCCTGTTATTTAATTCGTTGTTCGAAAAAATGTTTTAAGGGATGTGAAGGTAATCTGAAGAATAATCCGAATATATTTATACATTTTTGAAAAATGTTTGGAAAAAGTTGTGGTGACTTTAATAGGCGCTCCCCGTGAGCCCACAGTTAGTGTCGAAAGTGCAAGTGCTGTTTAGTTAAACGATGAGTGGTGGAGAGCCGACGTTGACGGAGCCCCCAGTGCCGCTGGCGCTGGCACGGCTGCAGCCGCGCGCGGGGCGCGTGCCTCGCTCCGCGCGCCCCCATCCGCGCCGGCCAAGCCTCGCGCTCGCCAGCCTGCAGGAGGCTGCCGATGAGACGCCGCGTCGTTACAGCGATGAGGCTTACATTCAGGACACTGACGACGACGAAGCCTTCTACGATCCAATCCAAAGCAAACCATCGAAGCCCGCCTCCAATGGCCGGCGGGCTTCCGAGGCAACGTTTGCCGAGCGATATAGGAAGTTTAATGAGTTCGACGGGCCACCGCCCGAGGTGCCCCGGCGAGCGTCCCTGGCCGTCCCCGTCGGCGACGGCTTCGGACACAGTGACAAAGGCAGACGACGCTCGTGGGCCGCAAAGCTCCAGCTCGAACGCAAAAAGCGACGGAAATCAGGCGGCAACGATACCGATGACGAGATCGACCCACCTGTTTACATGCGACAGAAGAGACCATCGTGGTGGAATGTCTTCGTGCCCGATAACATGCTGAAACATAGGTATAGAAATATAACTTATTATCACTACCATATTTATGTGTGAAAAAATCCTCGTGTTGTTAACTAAACTCTCAATGTATCGCTTTTCAATATTCTTATCTTAAAACAGAAAAAAAAACCGTCGACATATATTGATCAAACTTGGCAGTTATTACCTGCGTACAAAGCGCAAACAGAACGTAATTCATAAATAAAAAATAAGTTGGCAACAGTAGATACATCTCGTAAGGAATCGTTGGAATAGGTATTGGCGTGCGCGTATGGGATTGCAATGAATATATATGTACAGAGCACCATGACAGTTGACCTCCTTGACCCAGTGGCCCAAGTGCGATTGTTAACTATTAAATGTGCGTACTTTGTCAGGGTTGGTAACATTTGTAACGATTTGCTCTCGTTTATACACATTCATGTTTGTTGACATTTTAACAATGTTTTAGTAATTGATTCAACTATCTGTGTCATGTTATTAAATAATTATTGACTATAAATATCTAAATATAAACTTAACTTTCTCCATATTTTATAGGTTGCTATTTGAATATGAATAGACGATTAATAAATTGGTTTCTAATTTGGTCAATTAAGTCCATCTGTAAAATTAGTTTAATCATCGTTATGATTTTATAATATGTTAAAGATATTTCAAATCATTACGTAATTGCGAAGTTATTAATCTTACTATTATTGTACATGCGATGGACGGATATATCGAAGGATGGATGGATGGATGTTTGAAGGTATCCCCAGAATGGCTGATCGGATCTTGATGAAATTTGACATACATATAGAACATAGTCAGAAAGAACACATAGGCTACTAATAATGCTTTTTTAATTCCGCGCGGATGAAGTCGCGGACGACCGCTAGTTTTATATATGGGCCCTTATGTACTTTGTATCTTTTGCTGTTATGATGGATTATAAATTAATATTCACATAAAACACTCGAGTTCAGTTTGTATTGCGATCCTTATCAGAATATTTACGAGTACTTACTTTGGAGTTATATATAAAAGTGGAGTGGCGAAAAATTCCATGTGCCGAGGTCCTCTGTCTGTTTGTTCGCCGCATTGTATATAATAATTTAAATATACTTAACTGATATATTTATGACTTTGTAAGAGTGATCTGTCACAGATGCTATCAAGATTTATGCGAGGAATCGTTCCTTATCTCAGTTATATTCGTATTTTTGTACTTAAATTACGAGTAAACTTTACAATTATTGCAGTGCGGACATTGATATCCTTATCCAGGATATGTTAAGGTTATATTTTATTTCTTCCGGTTACTTCTAGAACGTTCATGACAATAAGTTTTTGTGTTGATAAAACAAATCAGGTTTAACACGAAAAAGTATAATTAATTTTAAACTCGCAAAGAGTTTGTTAAATGTTTTCTCTAACAGTACACGTTTTCATTCATCGACATACGTCTTGCCTTTCATCCTACATTTTGTTCACACAATTTGGTAGATAAAGGCATTTAATCTTTACTACTTATAATATTCCAAGTACGCAATAACTGCTGTTGTTAATAAAACAAAAGTTTATAACAATTTTCGACTTGTAATTTTTGGCACATATTTGGAATCGGTAACCGTCCATAAAGTCGGCAACAATACGAGAATGGATTTGATTGACGAAAAAGTGACGCGTATGCAATCCTTGGGTATAAGTTACTTCAGCTGATAATTATGGGCAAGATTGAAGAAGTATTATGCAAATTCTGCTTTTATATCCAACTGCAGTCACACCTACATCTCAATCAACTTATTGCTCTAATCAATATGAAGTTTACTAGATGTGACTCGCTTTTTATGCAACAAGAAGTGAACGTTTTTAGACTAAAACGGTAACGTATCAACCAATGAATAGTAATTATGTCATGGTAAGAAGTCATAATGATTAGGCAAGATCAACTTTGTAAAGAAACGTCAAATTCAAAGGAAAAAGCATAGGCTTTTTCGATGGACTTGCAAGCATTTTCCTTTTATATCCGTGTTATCCTTTCAATGAGATAAAAGGTAGGGACTTGTTAAGTCATGCCCGGGTCTGATTTCTTATGGTGTGCTTTTAGCAAAATATCAATCTATCGTTTATAACTTTCGTAAAATATCTGTTCTATCATACGGCTACCGTGGCTTTGCTTTGTGCTTCATACTGTTAGGAAGAAAATCCGTCACTGTGCCTGAGTATTAACACAACACTAGCCTTACTAAAATGTCTACGTTTATGTCCCCTCACTAATCATTCTGACACTGGACTTTGTAATGAAAGCGCGCCATTCGCGCCAAATGATTCTAACTAATAATGTATAAAAAAATAGTAGAACATTGTACTGTAAATTATTTTTGGGCGAACTCTATAAAAATAAAGAGAATGCAAATTGTATTTTATTCCTAAATGTTGTTAATTAAAAATGTTTATTTATAAGTAAATGATTCAGGTTATAATGAGTCATACCAGGATGTTGTTGCTTACTCAGCAAAACAATAAGGACATCGTCCTATGCGGTTTTACTGAAACCATTTCATTAAATACTTCGTAGTTGTTAGCACAGAATATTCATTGTTCATTATATTATACTAGCTGTCGCCCGCGACTTCGTCCGCGCGGGATTATAAAATAAATAGTAGCCGATTCACAGACCTACTCAATATGCTCACAAAATTTCATAAGAATCGGTCAAGCCGTTTCGGAGGAGTATGAGAATGAAAATTGTGACATGATAATTTTATATATAAGATAACAATTTTCTAAAATCATAATTTAAAAAATTTATCACGTTTTTTTTTAAACTTTCCATAATTTTTTTATTAGTAAATCTCGGATATTGTCTTGTTTGGTACCACGAATGCTTAACTGTGTAGAATACTGCTAATCATATATTATTAGTACTTTCATTAGAAGTCTTAGCGATTCACGATTTCTTTGGATCATCACAGATTGAACGTGTACAGCATTTTAACGTCTTCTTTATATGTATTCTGCGAACAACATTTTCACCTTGATCGGTTTGATGTCTCTTTTTACAAGATTACTAAGATGCGTGCACAAAAGAAATCAATACTCTTTTTATTTTGTTTTGTTAGTATATTTCTACTATATCTGTTTTTTTTGTTTTTTTTATATTATAAGGTGGCAAACGAGCGAGCGGCCACCTGAAATCGCTGAAATAGCGAAGTGACCGTTGCCCATAGACATACGCAACTGCATATTCGTTGCCTACCTTTAATCGACGGAGAGGAGGATGCACAGAAAGAAAATATTTTCCCTTCCCATGCTTCCTCTCATCCGGAAAGTCCACTTCCACTTCCCATCCTATCCTTATAAGGAAAAGGGTGGGAAGGGAAAGAGGACTAAATTAGGCCTCCGGGACGCACACTCATCAGACGAAACGCGGAATTGCTTCCACTTCACGCCTGAACACTTTTTATTTTGTTTTGTTAGTATATTTCTACTATATCTGTTTTATTTAATTATAAAATATCGAGCCAATTAATTACATGTAAATATTAGAAAATATATCGCAAATTATTCCAGAATAAAAACCGTGTAGAAAATATTGTGGTAAGGGTGGGATAAATATTCCCTTTGTATTGAGTTGTCTTTCTAATGAATTATATTTCTTACCCTGGGTTTGGGAGACCACAATCTTGGATTAAAACATATTAATATCTCTCTTTTGTCAAAATAATGACAGGAATTACGATATGTTTTATACAAAGATTTTGGGTTTGGAAACCTACTGTTATTGACGCATTTTATGAGGGAATTTTAAAGCATTTTTTGCAATATAACACCGTATGAATCACAGTTCGTTGAATATTTAAATTACGAAATGTTTACATAAAGTAGGAAACATTCGTGCATTATTATGTCAAGACACGCAGCTTTATTATCATAGACCTCCACCGTCTGCCCACTCGCTCGCTAGTCAGTTCCGCTAAAATATATAAATAATTACTAACGTTTACTATTTTATATGTAAATTTTCTTCCGATTCAGGAAGGTGATTATAATAATTCATATGATATCAATAGTTAATTATATTTTCGACTAATTGTATCCAGATAAACTTTAAGTCTGTTAGTTCTCTTATATTAATGTAAACTTTAGGCTTTTGTTGACATAGAAATTTTAAACACAATGGGATGTTAATCCGAAACAAAGTCATGAAATCGATTTTTAATAATCGATTAATCCGGTTATTAATGTGTCTGATTAAGTCGTACCACCTGTATACACAGATCTTTTACATTGTGACGACATCCTGTAGGTATCCGGCAGGCGCGTCACGGGGCGCAGGCGCAGGTGGTTTCATCACCTCGCCTGGCCTTTGCGTCAGTTTCCGCAATCGTACGTTCACCTTTGTTTCTTTGTACCACAGGCCACTTACCTTATGCTCCGCATTGGCCTTACGTTTGTAACAATATCTACGAATCTTGTTTTAAGCTCTTTTAAGTGTTTTAATGAATATATCCTTACTGTTATTGCTTTTGTAACGCAAGGATCACTTTTAAAGTTGTCAGCTGTTAAAACATAATTCTAGTTAATGTCAAAATTTGTTATTCAAGGATGTTATCGTTTTAAACATCTAAATATAAAATTCTTTGTTTTTTGTAACACTCTCTAAACGAGTTTCCATTAGCGATTTCAGCGACTCCTTACTCCATATTTATATTTATTTTATTATATTATTCTCATTATAAACTGTCGAAATTAAATGCATTTGTCGAAATGTAACTTTTTTTTACACTTTCACGGATAATTTATCCTGGTGAAGGAACATGCAACATTTACGACGGACTGTCACAACAAAGTTTTATAAAAGAAAACGCCCACCTCAATGGTGCCATTTTTACCAAGGTCAGGTCTTACAACGAATCTAAATTCTGTTCGTAAAGTTTCACGTAAAGCGGTAAAAAACACACTTGATAAATATAGCATCCAATTGTCTGCTCAGACATCATAAGAATTTCTTTCTCTTCTATTT